GTAGGATAAAACCTTTTAAAAAAATATTCTCATTATGAGATACCGACCACAGGACGCTTGAATTTTGGAGACTGGATTTGACATCGCTGGCTTGGCTGGCTGGATGATCTTCTTTGGCCAAAATCGGATTCATGATTTGTCTTTTTCGGTGTTTTTGAGAAATTTCTAATGCGCCTGATGCAGGCATGTTGCCATACTGTCCTTTTGCAGCATCTTCCAATGTATATTAAATTAAACCTCACAAGATCTCAGAAAATCAAGATGTACTAAGAAATTTAAAACAAAGTATAAATCCTGCTGATTTGAGTGTACGGGTAGATGGAGCAAAAAAAATAACTAAAAACGGAGCAGTAATTTACTGTACAGATTCAACAGATTTAACCAAATTGAAGAGTGCCCTAGATTCTAAACTTGGAAAAGCATATGAAGTTAAGAGGTCTGAAAAATACAATCCAAGAATTTTAATCAAAAACGTGCATTTAGAAGAGTTTTCAGATGATTCACAATTGATACAGAATATACTATCCCTTAACAACCTGGATGACGAAGACCCGAGTTCTCGGAAACTGGTTACGACGCTAAAAATGCAAAGCGCTAAACATATCGTCATAGAAACCACTCCTCGCGTAAGATCACACTTGATGGATAGAAGCTTCATATACTTAGGATGGAAAAAATATAGCATAGCAGATCACATAAATGTTATCCAGTGCCGTAAATGCTGTGGATTTGGGCATTATGCAAAAAATTGTAAATCTAATAACAACATTCTCAGAAATGCCAAGAAATTCCTGCCGTACAAAAAAGAAAATGGGGGACTTACAAAAAGCGATATTGAAACAGGCAATGAATTTTGTAAATATTTTTCTGAAATTGGTGAGAATCTGACAAAAGACATTTCAAATGAAACGCAACTTATATATACGAAAACTATATTGCAAAGTTCCCTATATCTGACACAGACCGATCAATACGAAATTGAACATATCATAAAGCGACTGAAAGTTAAAAGATCGAAGTTACGCAGAAGTGGATTTTGTTGAACAAAAAGAAATGTTATCCCTCAATCTTTACAATGAATCTCAGCTTTTCGACTGCCGACAAATTTATTTTTATCATACAATAATATATTTAACAAAAAATCCAAACTTGTTACTTTCTATCAGCCACAACCATTAAACGCGATTCAAGGAAACCTCTGCACTAATTCCTAGTCTAAATAAAACTATCAGCCAAAGATCATTCTATTTTCTATGCTCAAAATTTTAGAATGTTATTCCTGCAAACCTTAAACATATAAAATGTATAAAACGTTCAAAAATTGAATTAAAATCATGGATCCTAAATCAACCAAGGCTACAAATCCATAAGTTTGTTGACACTAAAAACCTATATGTTATTTAATCACAAAATGATGCAAATTTATACATTTGACTATTATACTCAAAGAAAATTTGTTGAATTAATATAACTCAACTTCGGTTAAAACCCAAGCACAAGTGTACACTTTTTTTGGATATATTATGTTTATTGGACATTGCCGTTATTATTTACGAAAACTTTGTAATTGGACCAATAAACATTATTATTATTATTGTATATCATCTGGGAAGAAGTAGGGGAACTGACCAAGCGGTAGGTCGTAAGAAAAAAAAGTCTTAGAACAGTTCAAAGATCATCTAACACATCTTTTGGAAACACCCTGTATACGCGGACGTCATTCCCAGATTTTTGGCACCCAAAGTAAAATTTTGGTTGAACACAAAAACCTGCGCTGGCTCCTAGCCTATAGACCTTTGAGTTGGAGGGTATCCCATTATTTGTTATAGGCAGGGACAACTCCCAAGGATCAAACTACACATGCGCCTCAAACGCCAATTCCAATTCTTTCACTGAGATGCGGCTTTGCCAACTCTGCTATTTTCGCACTGAATCTGCTACTAAGTACCGTTCACTCAATTCCACAGCAATTGGCGAGGAAATATTGTATTCGCGAAATACCTACTTCTAAATCTTGATATCGTTTTTCGATGTTGTACTCGTATTGATCATATGAAAAATCATATCACTCATTTTCGTCGGTATGTCTGTCCAGTAGATAATTCTTGGTCCTCTTAATATGGAAATTAGGCACTATTCAGGGCATATTTGGCTTTGGAATTCAACGTCGAATACACTTTTTCTTATATAATACAACATATTAATACCACTTGTGGAATGAGTCTTTTTCACGAGTATTCATTATGGTAGAATCACAGCTGATTATCTAGTAATATTTCAAAATTCCCCAGCATATCAACAAATGACACATAATTCTGACTGATCCGTCAACGCCAGGTAGACATAGCCATATTATATTGTTTTATTTTTTGTACCCTACAGAGCCATTTTGTACTTGCTAACTGTTTTATTTAAAAAACTTCATTTGTATACAGAAAAACGCTACCAGCAAGTTTTACTCACGATATACATACACTGAAGATAGGATGTTGCCCTTGTGGGCGGAGCTTCGTGACGTCAGCCAGAGAGTTGTCGGCTCGTGGTTACCAGCGGCAGGATTGTCGTAACGTTACTGCAGTGCACGTGTATCGTGGTTATACTATATAGTGCGATTTGTTGGTAATTTTTGGTGGGTTTGTGACTTGTATTAGTTATACATACTTTATATACCCTGTGATGTTAGTAAATTGATGAAAATGCGGTCTGCTGTTGTGGGATGTAATTCCGACAACCAATCTAAACGGAATCCTTGCAAAAACATGAAGTTCTACAAGACCCAAACCTTAGCAAAAATAGGCTGCATCATACAAACAGAAAAATCAAAGTCAATGTAAAAAGCGCTAGGGTTTGCTCGAAGCACTTTTGTGAAAGTGTTATAAGGTCAGTTTAAAACAAACCTTTTTGGGTTACACCCTTATAAGATTCCACTAGCCGCATCATTAACGAATAAAACGAATGCACCTGAAGTATCAGCTGTCTATAACGAGGATGTTTTAGTGGAAGAAATAGATGAGCTCGAGTATGATGGGTTGAAAAATTTGGCCCGCTTTGTTTGCCATAAATTGCAGGATGAGAGGTTGAAAAGTTCCACAAATAAAACTTACTCCTGGATAGACTATCTTAGTGAGACTGGATTATCAAAACCTTCCACAGCTTTCATGAATCAAATTGAGAAGCTTAATAAGGTGTTTACTACATTCAATGGGGACGGAATAGTGACAGAAATGCAAAATTTTATAGGCGATCTTCTGTTGAAGAGCAGCAACATTGACTACCGTGAAAAAGTAAAGGAACTATTTTTCAGGTCAAGGATGCTCTTCCGGATCAAAACTGAAAAAAATGTGACTTAGACTAAGTCATTTCCATTTATTGTCAATGAAGCCAGCTTACTGCAAAAAGATGATAACTCCATTTTTCTACTTTTCGAGATGCCCACATTTTCACACTTGCATGTATAGGTAGTACTTTGAATGTTCTGTTAAATAAGGATGAATAAACGTAGTGCAGTATTAACGTCATGAGCATGTTAATCCTGCTCCACAGAACATACTAAAATATAGGTAATGTAGAAAAATCTTGTTTTTACAGTAAAGTGGCGATACACGCTCTATTGTGGAGCTAGAAAGCCGTTTAAGCTATAGCCTGTGAGATAGAAATTACAAGGTTGAAATCTTTTATTTAAATCCGCCATTTTGTTTTGTATAAAATTGTCACTCGCACCGCTAATACGAATCCAACGACACCTCATAGGTGAAAATCTATCAAGCCGTTTGATCTATAGCCTATGAAGTAGGAATTACAAGGTTTTTATATCTTTTATTAAAATCCACCATTTTGTTTTGTATAAAATTTTAATGTAGGCAGTAATACTCGAACCGCTAAGACGAATTCAACGACACCTCATAAGAGAAAATCTGTCCAGCCGTTTGGCCTATAGGTGAAAATATGCACGTTATCCATATCAATCTAAATGAGAGTCACTCCCTGCGTGACGTCATGCGCGCCGGCGGACGAAAATCGAATAGCGGAGCATCCGGCACTGTGTTTTACTAGATTTACACCCGACCCATTATTGTCAATGTTACAGACTAATACAAAGATGTCACATGCTGATCAGCTGTCGACCTCAGTAAACGTCAAAACGTGATGGATACTCGTGAAATAGGGTTTAAGACCACACTACACCTAGTATGTTTCTGACAACACCTCTTTCGCTTTTCAATTATCCCAAAGGCACCCTCCTAAATAGCTTCCCAAAACCGCCACTATATATGACTAAATAAAGTGACCCCCCTAACCCAAAAGCATGATTCACCCTTGAGCCCACCACCCCTTCCCCTCTAGAACTTTTTTCTGGATAGGTCAGTGAGTATTGTGATAAAATAGTGTTAATTTTTAGAGGTATACAAAACAAACTTAGCCGCAATTTTTAAAAAAATTCCAAACCTTGCCGTTTTTCAATTTGCCCTTTGAGACAGAAAGAAAATTGAGAACCTCATAAAATCAAAATCAGGAATTCCTAACATTCTTCCTCTCCCTAATGACGCTTACAATTTCCAGCTGAAATTTTAAATACATTTATATGTAATTCGTAATTGTGAGGAGTACTGAGTCAATCTACTTGACTTCATTTTTTTCGCGCATGCTATATACAGAATCCTTGCTTAAGAATAAAATTTCATTTGATGATTGATAATTTTATACTAGGGGTCCGGTTTTGGGGATATGCAATTTTTATTGAAATAATTTAATAATATTCCATTGTAATTTATAAAATTCATTAAGGAAATCATGGTTAACTCTCCAAAGTAAATGTCACACGCTTTCAAAACATATTTTTAGCTAGTTTCTTTGTTTTTTTAAGTCAATAATAAAATGGTGGTCCGATTTTGGGCACTACGCTCTATCATTGCCTGGAAAGTACTAAGTCAATCTACTTGACTCCATTTTTAACTTGTTTTTACGTCAAACTTCTACCAATCTACTGTCAATCTAGTCAACGTGAGCTGGCAACACCGCCGGGATACCGACAAAGGTGGAGGTGGGCCTTATTCCTTGTATATTTTGTATACTTTGTATACCATCGTTCAGATAACCAGCTATTGAGTTGGGGGTTTTCACGAATTTCTGAGTTCGGGATATGATTTCGCACTGGTTTTCGTATTCGGTTGTTATGTCTTGAACGCTGGACACTCTGCTCGCAATAAAATGATATCTCGATATGTGATTTTAGTTACATTTAGTACCTTATTGTGTTTTTGTACCTGCGTGCTGAACTCAAACCTGGAAATAAATACCACCAAGGGTGAGTATCTAGTAAATATAAGGGATTTTGTATGAAAGTTTGGTCTAATTTCTATTATTCGCGATATTCATGCGGAACAGTTCCCCCGAAAGGTGTATATTTGTTTACTTTCATATTTTATACGTCAAATCAGGTGATGTATTTTTATACACACATGTTACCTACATAGGTTTTTCTCACTAGTACGGGTATGTGGATAACAAACTGTATTAGCAGAATAAATTAGTGAACAACATCTGTAAATGGTTCTTAAATACTGTGTACATTATTTGTTTTCCAATGCTTTTTTCCGAGATGTAATTATTGGTTTTTACCCCTAAACGTGCTGTCATAGTGTGAGTAGAACCACACCATAGTTTACGACTTTGATCTCTCTCATAGTAAAGGGCAGAAATTGTAATATTTATAGTAGGTAGACTAGAAATGATGAGAAAGGTGACTCTAAATAACATTAATTTTATTCCACTAAAACAATGTGGAGTAGATCAACTACCACCTTACACGCAATGTGGATATTAAATCCATTACTATCAAATTACTAATCATAGTAATTTAGAATCTCGCATTCAAATCTGCCCTCAAACAAGTACGACCAATGTCCGATAATGAAATTTTGGAAATCTTTAATTATACCATTCCTCCAATAAATTATGTATCAGTAAACCTGGAAAACATTAAAAAAATCGTCCTTTTTTCTTGTTCTATAGAAAGTATGAATTTTAGACCCGCAAAATTAGATTAAATACAAAATTTTCAGTTGAGAAAAATATAAAATGAAAAATATATAGGCCCCCCCATTTGTCCAAAGCTCTGAAAGAATCTGGAAATACCCAATTTTGATGAATACTTTCACTACGCCCAACAAAAGCGGCCTAGAAAAACGTGCAAATTTTTGTTTTTTGTTAATTTTCCTCATTTCATAGATTTTCGGAAGTTCCGGAACCACACGATAATTTGTCAACTAATAGTGGTAGGAAAAAACTAACCCCTGCGATTGATAAGAGTTTTCCACAGCTATAAAATGGTGGCCTTGGATTTGACCTTGACCATGGCCTTCGAGGAAATTTGAAGGTCAAGTCGATTTTTTCAAATGGATCCCCCCAAGTTGACCCCGTAAATGAACTGAGCGGAAAATTCTACGTGCAGATATGGCCTTGACCACTCTTAAATTTTGACCTTAGCAGCTCAAGGTCAATCCCAGGTACGGTGATATAACTAGAAAGCCAGTAGTCGTATAGGGAAACTATCTAGACAAAATTTTCGTCATTGATTTCCAGGATATACAGTGGGGACCTTGGATCTGACCTTGGCGATAACCCAAGGTAATTTGAAGGTCAACTCTTTTTTAATGGGACCCTATACTTTTGTCCGCGGAAATGGAGTAAAGGCAAAATTTTTAAGGTCAGATCCAAGGTCGAAGTTGGATATCCGTCTCGGTAGTTTCCCTATACGACTGCTGGTTTTCAAGTTATATCATTTGAACGCAACATGTTCAGTCCCCCTTTTTATACCATCATTAGTTCATAAATTATCGTGGGGTTCCGGAACTTTTCAGACGTGCTGTAGCAAAAGAATAAGGTACTATGTGCCTACTCGGTACCGCTTTTACTGTTTGTGAGATTACGCGAATATACAAAAACTTACCGGCGAGATACAAACAGAGAAGCAAATCTTCCGAAATTAGCAAAATATTTTCATTCCGAATACCAATAATCATACGCACATCTCCTACACTCATGCATAGGAGTATTAGTTCCACCTTTTATTACATTGATTGCAGGATTGCAAAATTTTGATATACAAAAAATTACATTCGATCATCTAGTTGATTTTTAAACACGCGTTAGATTGATTTTTTACGTAAAACACAGAAGTAGACGCAAATTTGTTTCACGCAATCGTTTTTTGTCACATTATGATTGATGGAATATTTCAGTGGAAACGTTTACTCCTAATCGTTCCTCAAAGTCGACGGTTTAAATGAATCGGTCATTGCAAAAACTTCATCAGTCCGTTTTTTTTACTAGTGATAACGCGGGTAGATGCGTATTCTGCCTATTATATACACCTCATAAGTTCCCTTCAAATAACACATAACACTACCTAATACACTTTTAGTGCAAAATCATCGCACTATTCGATGGCGGGTACTTGAATGGGCATATAAAAATAGTGCCAGAATCTCAATATTGTTTTATTTTCATATTTATACGCTATATGCATCAAAATGTTCGCCTCACCAACTACGAAAATGAGATTATAGTCCTTATCCGCCTTGTCCGAAATCACTTGTTTAAGAGTTTTCTTGTTTCCTTCCAACACCACGGACTCAAGCCACCTCATTTGTATGCCTTAGAACTTAGAAGCTCCTTTGAATGTGCTAAGTATTTCAAATAGCTGTCCGTATAGATAGTATAAAGATCGAATACATTCGCAACACTTGCAATGTCTACTTTTTGTTGAATAAATACATTTTGATGCCGGGTAATCAAATAACACCTGGGTTTTTCTACAATGGATCCTCGTTTATTAAAGGAAGTTGAACGAATAAGTCTATGTATCTTTTAATTTTTCACGATGGTCGATTCGAAATTCTCCGGGGTTCGTTTGGCCTGGGTTTCCCCTATGTATCTTAAATATGTGAATAAGTCAATATTTAAAGCAATTTTCTACAGTGCGCAATTAAAAATATTATTAATTTGCTTAAGTTATATACCACAAACTCTATTTCCTGCTAAAACAACGTAATCTCTAGCCTGTAACAGTTTTTCGGGCTTCCTCTATTATTATTCATAAAATATGAAGGTTATTCTAAATTTCAATCTTATAGATCTCAAATACTTCATTAAGTATTTTAATTAAACAGTGACGAAGAGATTACAGAGTGCAAAAATAGACTGGATTGGATATTCTGTTGACCCTATGTAGAGTAGATGGTGATTATAAGGAAATGTAGAAGAACGCAAAAAAAGAATATGACTGTTGCAGAAGGCCAAATCAGAAAGATACAATCAGAAAATCAGAAATTCAGACAATAAAAGTAATTCTATGTGGGCGATATGTCATGAAATCACAGGTCAAAACAATCATAAAGATATTCATATCAAAGGAGATCCAAATCTGATACCACAGCAGTACAATGAATAATTGTTATCAGAAATTCCGCTTTTACTAAAAGATGTGACACATTTGACTGCAATTTACAAGAAAAGGACCAATCATTACACTTAAGACCAATGACTGTTGATGAAGTTCCAACAACAATAGTAAAACTTTCCATTCCAGTATTAAAACATGTTTTGTGCTTACTTACTAATGATACTTTTAGGCAAGGAACATTCCTAGAGAATTTGAAAATAGCTGTTATTAAACCAATTTTTAAAAAAGGTAATTCAGAGCAATTAGAAAATTATAGGCCAATCAATATTTTAACGGGTTTTTAAAATTATTTGAGTTACGCATCAGTAAAAGATTATTGGAATTTATGACTGTAAGTTATTTAATACACATCAGCATGGATACCTATATGGGAGATCAACAGATACTGCAATCTGTCAATTTGTTCCTCTATTATTATTCATAAAATATGGTTATTCTAAATTTCAATCTTATAGATCTCAAATACTTCATTAAGTATTTTAATTAAACAGTGAGGAAGAGATTACAGAGTGCAAAAATAGACTGGATTGGATATTCTGTTGACCCTATGTAGAGTAGATGGTGATTATAAGGGGAAATGTAGAAGAACGCAAAAAAAGAATATGACTGTTGCAGAAGGCCAAATCAGAAAGATACAACCAGAAAATCAGAAATTCAGACAATAATAGTAATTCTATGTGGGCGATATGTCATGAAATCACAGGTCAAAACAATCATAAAGATATTCATATCAAAGGAGATCCAAATCTGATACCACAGCAGTACAATGAATAATTGTTATCAGAAATTCCGCTTTTACTAAAAAATGTGACACATGTACCTTTTGACTGCAATTTACAAGAAAAGGACCAATCATTATACTTAAGACCAATGACTGTTGATGAAGTTCTAACAACAATAGTAAAACTTTCCATTCCAGTATTAAAACATGTTTTGTGCTTACTTACTAATGATACTTTTAGGCAAGGAACATTCTTAGAGAATTTGAAAATTTATGACTGTAAGTTATTTAATACACATCAGCATGGATACCTATATGGGAGATCAACAGATACTGCAATCTGTCAATTTGTTCGAACAGTACTTAAGCAATTAGAGGAGGGAAACTTAGCGGTTGGTTTCTACCTGGACTTGTCCAAAGCTTATGATTCCATCAACAGAGACATATTGTTATTAAAGCTACAAAGATATGGTGTAAGAGGAACTGCGCTAGAATTGTTCAAGTCATACCTCTATAATAGACAACAGAGGGTTGAAATTGTTAAAGGAGGTCAAACTTACAAGTCAAACATTGAGTTGACTTCAACCGGCATAGCACAGGGTAGTATACTTGGGCCCATTTTGTTTGTAGTTTTTTTAAACGATCTCTGTTTTGTTACTAGTGATGATCATAGCAAGGATAAAATTATCTGCTATGCTGATGACACAAATTTGGTGTTGGGTGGGACAAGTGTAGAGGACCTAACTGCTAATGGAAATCTCTTATTCAGAATTGTTTTCTTATTCAAAACATGCAACATTATTTAGAACTAAGCAGAGTAAAGTCGTTAAGCCGCAATGTATCGATATAGATGATCATCAAATGCATTTGAGTGAAAGTGTAAAATTCTTAGGCATCTATATTGATGAATTTTTAGATTGGACAACACATGTATTCGAACTGCTGAAGAGGCTCAATACCATTTGCTATGGTTTTAGGGTAACATCAAAATATCTAAATAATAGGAGTATGAAAATATTGTACCATGCTAATTTTGAAAGTGTCCCAAAGTATGGGATTATTTTTTGGGGCGCAATAGGTTTATTCAATAAAATTTTGTTATACAAAAAATAGCAGTACG